GGTATCTGAGAACCAGGTTCGATCAAATACCGGTCAGTCATCCCGAGTTCACGTCACTCAGATTAGAGAATTCGCGCAAGCGCGAGTGCGAAAGGAACAATTATGGAAAACGGAATGTGCAAATTATCAACCCTGTTTTTCGCCTCGTAAAACTTTCAGCATGCTTACGACCGTATTGTGCTTTTGGAACAGGATGATGTCGTTAACTTTGGTGATTAGTTGCTACAAATAGACTGAGCAAAATACCTAAAATATATGCGAACGACAGTTTATTTTTGAGCTAAATTGGTCGCTATTGCTTAAAAAATAACCAGCACCTAAGTCAATCCGACTCCAATACAATCTTTGTAAATTGCCAAGACTACTTACAGTCTAGTGATTGATACGGGCAAACATTCTGCAATACACTTACTGTCAAAACAATAGAACGATTGCCAAGGTACAAAAGGATTGTGATTCATTCGCCCAAAAATGAGCTGAAACAGGATACAGAGGATTGAACCCTGAAGTACTTGACTCCATCAATCCAACCACTGGCTGTGATGGAATGCAATCCAAACCAGGTCATTTCAGAAGATGCGATGGTATCAAACGAACTGGAGTTTGAACGTATGGCATGCTAATAAACCGGGTACTATTGAGCCAATAACACGACGTCGACTGCTCCCCTATTTACAGCTCTGATACACTTTTACTCGGTAATGCCTAAAACTCATTCAGATTTGTATTTAATTATCCTATATTTTTCAATTCAAGAACGTTTTGTAGTACTTCGAAGGTTTCGGGATTATCTTCCGTTTTCTTGTATATGATGTTTGCATTTGGTAAACCTGCGGTGCTCTTTTCTCACAATCATGCAGATATCCGGTGAGGATAGCCATAGTTCCCGCTCGACGACCGTCGGTTACCTCACATCGAAAGGTGTGGTAAGTATTTACCACGCTGTGACCATGTGGTCCAACTGTTCGTGTACTCTGAGAATGTATTTTGGGAACAGCGAACAGTTACTCAATCGTGTGTATACATGCGGTTTGAATATAGCCTAATGTACCCACGTCCCAGTAAACAAGATTCAATGACTTCACCGTCTTGTCCAAATAATTTCGCAACATAAATTATGCGATCGCATACGAAATTCATTAATCTAATGGTCAAAATTACCAGGGAGAGGAGAAACAAAGAAACCTGATTCGCTTCGTCCAAATTCATAAATTTCCGATCGGAGGAAGGACGATAGTATGGACGGACTGTAAAATAACTACATTTCCCTCAAGAAAATGACCTACTATTTAACGAAGTTGAATAGAAATTAATTATGGTTCCTACAATATTCTTGTGCACATTGTTCAATAGAACCCTGTCAATGCACTGATGGAAATAAGTGAGAAGGAAACTCCAATGAATCACACTGGTGAACAGCTTGGAGAAATTCCTAAATTGTGAGAAAACATTGTTTTGAAGGTGATGGTTTACTTTTTCATTCCATGTCCCATTTCATAGTATTCATTCCAGATGGCACTAAATGAATAATAAAAATATTTATATGCATATGTATTCAGGGAATTCTAACCAGTGTTTTACATCCCACCGTACATGAGAAGTCACGAAAGAGAAAACTCAAACACACTGCTTTGTTCTAAGTGCTACTGTACCCGAACTGTGGAGGTTTCCTTGTGTGTCTGATATATCGCAAAATGGGAGAAACCGCTACCGATCTAATGAAGTTCCATATAGCCAAGTAAACATGTATTGCATTCATCATCAATTTCGTCGCATCAATCACACGCACCTCATTGTTTTGTGCACTTTTTCAACTTGCTTTCTTCATTCACACGGTCATGTTTGATTCCATAATATCCATGAAAACGATGTACATCCATTGTGAAATTTAACCATGACATCTTTAAATTGTTGTATTCGCTTTTCAGGGGATACTCGATGTTGGTATGGTGCGTTTAGTAGCCTTCCAGTATCCAGCTAATCTAATTACCTATGTTGAGACCCTTTAGATTAGTTGCAATCTCCCTTTTGACCTGCAAACTTTATAGCGGTTCACGCGTATTGCCATCCAATTACGCAACACGATCATCACATTATTACTCATGAAATTCTATACTAGTATCATCACTGTGCTGGTAGTTTCAGTGCCATGACTGTATTATCCCATAGCGTTTGTTAATAATGCAATCGAAATGCACATATGCACAAGTACAAAGAATCAATTATCTTATGCTTCGATGTAAGGAGCAGTTCAGTGGACATGATTGCCAAGTCCATGTTTTAACTTACTCTTATATGGTTTAGAATGGAATAAACGCATTAAGTTTCCAATGTTCTATATTGGTTCTTAAAAATTCAATGCCTAAGCTTACTTCATTCATCCCGTCTGCTTAGAATAAAAACGCAGTTAACATAACTATAGCAGAAAAGTGTAAACCGACTGGTGAATGGTTGTGCGTTATTCATGTACCTTAATTTTGTCAGTTGTTAAGGTATTCAAACTAAGCCAAAATTTGGTTGTTGTTGTGCAAGAATTGCAGAAAAATGACCATCAATCCACTGGGCAGAAGGGAAACAAATCTGTGGGGTAAGGTACTATTACTTCACGCGACAAAGCGGCAACCTTTGAGCTGCCAAGCTGTATAGAATACCGGTTGACCAATAGACCATGAGCAAAAGGCCACGTTAGTCTTGTTGGGTCAATTGGTAGTCAATGTGGCCTGTTTTAGAGTGAACCTCACAGCGGATGGTATCAGGACTGACTCTTTCTGGTAAAATGTACAAAAGTGAGTGCCATTTATTTTGATGAGTTCGCTTAACCCCGCGACACATAAAATGATGCCTAATCAATATATCTCATTCAAGAGTCTCACTTTAGCTTGAAATCAGATGACCTAACCAAAAATTATAAAATGTAATATGCCTTAAGTAATACTTTCATTCCATTGAATATCTTCAACTCGTCTACTTATTCTAGCAAACGGATGAAACAGAAACCGAGAGGTAAGTCTCGAAAGATCGTAATTTTAATAACAATAAGATGTCTACTATTTCTACCATAAGAGTTGTGTTCTATACCATTTCAAGTTTAAGTGAATACTGTGTAACTTCATGAGAATCCAACCAATCGCATTCCACAAGGAACCCCACAGGATGATTGGTGCTTCGGCCGTCAAAAGTCACCGAATGAACCGGTTCTGTTCAAATCTCGTCCAGCCCGAATAAATTAATTTCTCCTTCAACTAACAGAAGTACTTTTTGAGTGAGTTACCGAGCGAGGATGAAAGTTTCGGTGTGGTTGGGTGAGGTTTGGCTGTTCGTCCGTCCAGTTTTCCTCCCCCGCCCGGGGAGCGTTTATCAAGTTATTAGCTTGATAGGCGGGAATGAACTAATCCGACGATAATTGACCTTGATCGGTCGTATAGAGAAGTATGCCATGACAAGTTGGAGCGATGACTACAAACAAATGTGAATGTGGCCACGAGCTGTTTTATGGGCTGGTACCCTCAGCAACATAGTGATTGGAATTCCATTGAGGCTAAGTTTCCGAGAGCTTTATCACTCCTGAGGAATGACTGCACTTGCACAATTTTCAGCATTCAGAAGCACAAAAGCTGAGAGGTTGGTGTCAAATACGAATTAAGAAGAAACAGTTATTAAGACTATCCACTTTAGATGGGGTATAACATACACTAGATTTCCTTCAGTTAACCCCGGACTAACTACTCTATGGTGCATACATGGCAAATGATTAACACTGATAACCAGTTGCTTACAGTTAACGTTAACATAACTGATCCGGCCATGCCATCATATTCGGTGCTCGCTTGATAGGAAGCTTATGGAGTGAGTATTACAATTAGCTTTTCCGCTCGAATCACTCGCCACACCGATCAAAGATGAACCCCCCCCCCCCTTCATCCGAAATGAACATAAATCTAATTGTTGGTGATTATTTTGACTAAAATGAAATAGAAGACCACAGTATTTGATAGTTTGCAACATTTGTGCCCCAAAGAGAAGCAAAACGTCGAACTACGCAAGCTAGTCTGCTGGTTTTACATGACAGTTTGGCTTTGGTAAAGTAATAACTGCCCTCCTTGATCTGATTTTCCCTGAAAAATACTGTCTAGCGCGGGGTTACTTCTGTATGTAATTATTCACAAACGTTAAGTGAAAAACCAGCCTACTGTAATTATAAATGTGCTCCTAACTCTGCGAAATTTCCCAAGTACCCGGCATATCGAGTTCAACACTGCTTTCTGACTATAGCATCCAGTCACAAAAACCTTCAGTGATTAAAACAAACCGTCAGCTGTAATAAAATTAAAATTTTTTATGGCTGTGAGTAATGGGGGATTTGATTCAATTTCAAAGTGAAAATTCGTCGTGTAAACAGCATATAAAGCGTGAACACTTGACAACTGTTTTGACTGACCAGGTCAAAACAGGTTGATTACTCAAAGATGAAGACAAAGCTGCTCCATGAAAAACAAAAACAAGTTACCACGCAATATTGCTCACGAGTAAGAAAAGGTTGGAAATAAAAAAAGTATTTTGTCATAGGAAGCAAAATACGGAAACTGATTTCCAGATAACCTTCCGATTACCAAAGATTGCATTTTATTTGTTGTCATAGAGCATATGTGGAACCACATGGAAATTAATTCGTTTTTTGTAGTTGGATAAAGAAGCGAATGGAATTTTTTTACGAAACCGGGATACATGTTGCAGATCATATGCATTACTCACTTTTGGATGACCTCGAAAACAGCCACCTATGGGATTAACATATGAGTTGAGTAACTGTAAATTTGTCTGTGTTCTTCTAGATTGGTAGTTTGATCATAAATATTTCATAGACAATAGGTGTGACGAAAGGGCGCTTTGGGTTCTAACACAAGGACTTTTACTGATCACAGTAGTGGATGTGGTTCACGGAGGATGACTACCAAGCCGAAAGCGATGGATGTGCGATGCTTCACAAAATTTTCTTAATCGAATAAAACGTCGACATCCGTTGATCCCTCGCAAAATCTTCTCTTTCGAATGTTATTCTTGAATCAAAAGTGTAATCTCCTATGCGTAATCAAAAATTTTCCATCATCCGTCCACCCACCCCCCTGGTCGTTTTTTGTACCGAAAAGGGAACTGAACTTTGCCAAGCAACAAATCGTTGAGCTTACTCGAATGCTACAAGCAAAAGATGTTGTGCTTCGAAAAACCGAAGTGAGTTCATTGAGTCTGAATCTATTGTACTGCCAGAATGAAACATTTCAACCTTAAAACACTTCTACATAAAAAGCTCTTTTCTACTATGCTAAAATGCAGTTAGCTCCTGTAATTTGTATTCTATCACACACACATACACACAACACATGAATCAAATCGAAAGTTTATTGTGACCACCAGTGATTGAATATTTTTTTTTCCTTTGGAGGTTAATGCTTTTATATTGTCTGATTGCTAAAACCGAAGTTGCCTTTTGGTCTCCGTTGGAGTCCACCATTAAGGTTGATTATTTTCTGTATGTATCCCTGCCAGGACAGCAAGATGAAAAACAGTTATGGCGTTTGGATTTAAAAATATACACTAAATTCATCGACTTTTGTCGATAGTGTCCAGTGGTGGTGACGTGCAAATATGATATCGATTTGAATGATCAACTTTCGAAATTCATTTTCATGTACAATCCTTATTCCATTAATCTACCTTGAGTGTATGGTTGACTGGAGGAACTGTAGACCATGCGTGAAGACAAAATCTGAATGAGGGTCATTCCAACCATTCCGATTCATTTTTTGACGAGTTAAACAGCTAAGGAGTGATAGGAGTTCCGGCTCCTTACACAATTGTGCAAGTTTTAGGTTTAATCAAGGAACCAAAAAGTGGTACTCAACACTGTTAAGTGCCAGCCAAGTTGAAAAACTGACTAGACATCTCTGTTGTCAGCCACACAAACTCGTTTGTAAATGACATTCACTCCAGTCAGGACAAAATATTTCCATGTTTAAACTTCACTTTCCTCCTTGATNTGCAATGTTCTTAATCATTTGTTAGTGTATGGTAGAATGCTTCAATCCCACGTCCAATGAAACTAACCTTTGGATAAAAATAATTGGGAGGGTACATTCAGCGACTTTGGGAATTGTAGAACAATGTTCAGTCAAATAAGGATGCGTTATTCAGATGGAAGACAGCTGAGATACCGGCCAACCAATGAGGCTATAACAGTTGAGCCCGCGTGAATCCATCAAGGCGGCCGTGTTATTCTGTCATTCGTTTTTGGAAACTTATCCCCTTTTATCCGGTCTGTATCCAATCAGGACCAATCTTTNCTTTCCAATCTGTCACACTTTCCACCATCCGTTTAGTTTCAGTCAGTCACGTTCTTTTAGAATTCATTTGTTAAAATAATTGGATAGTAGTGGAGATGAATCTATGGAAACCTTTAGTTAATCAGACTGATTAATAATAATATTTATCACTGGTCCCTCTTTGTCGCTAAGCACTATTCTTAATCTGTGCGTGCATCTGAAATTCCCATTAACGTAACACTTTCTCAACTATGATGCTTTTGTTTTAAACTGAAATGATTTTAGCAAGAGAATATGCGCCTCAATGAAGCTGTTCGTCGTTTACGGGATTTGGGACGACAAAAAACGAGCAGTGAGACTAGCTCCACTCGCAGCTACACGCCGACCCCCACGAACAGCGCCAGAGTGTATACCAGTAACACGCGGCTAGGTGGAACTCCTACTCAGTCAGCTGTTCCACGGACCGGATCAATGCGATACTCTTCGGAACATTCGTACGATCCACGACTGAACGCACTTCAAGGTGTCAAACACGCTCCGTATATAAATCAACCGACCAATATCATGAACTATGATAGTAACGATGTGGATGGAGAAATGCATCAGGCCTATCGACCGGAACCGCGTCGAGCAAGAACACGTAATGATAATGTAAGTCACTGTGAAGTTATGTATCAATTGTTAGAGACTTAAAACAACACACAAAAATTAATCTTAAACGCAATGTTGTAAAAAATCATGTTATGAAACATGAGATTTTCTGCAGTATTCTTCAGTGCGATACACAGACTCATAGACACGGATATACTGTTTAATCGTAATCGAAAAATCCAGCTAATGGACTCACAGTAGCGAACCAAATAAAGCCCCACGGGAAGAAGCGTGATATCGCTTTGGATGGTACCGCAGCTGTCCACCAATAAAATGAGGCAGCGGTGGTTGAATATTGGAGCCAAAGCATGGATGATGTTGATGATATAGAATATCGGAAAGAGTAATAACTAGTTCTAAAATGTAGTTCCCTGAGAATCTATTCGCACACTAAAATTGAGGTCCACAACGTCACGCGGAAGAGAAAATACCCTCTTGTAGTTTGATTTCAATATGGGAGAGTTACTCCGCCCATAAAAACATAATGGCTTGTGAAACAGGAAGAAGCATACTCGAGACATGATATTTTAATATTTCCTCTTGTACTGATTCCTTTGTGGGTTTGTATAGAACTGATGCTCGAGTTCACTGTTTTTCAAGCATCATTTTCATACTTGCCAGTGACATTTATTTTCATCTGGCCCCACCACCGCAAACAGATATTATTTTTATTTTTATTTTCTCGATCTGAAAGCAGCTTTTGACTCAATCGACCGGTGTAAGCTCTGGCGCTGCCTCGCTCTAAAGGCTGTGCACGAGAAGATTATTTCAATAGTACAATCGTGTTATACTAAAAGGCTAAGCCGAGTACGAGCTTATGGCACTTCTTCGCCCGAGTTCAGCACTGAAAGTGGTGTTCGACAGGGTAGCTCTCTCTCTCGCCCCGTTTCTACTTATCTTCGTCATAGATTTAATTCTTGCAACAGCCCTATCCTCGAGCGAGGATAATTATAATGATTTTAGTAAAGTGGTAGTAATAGGCACGGAACTCGGAACACAGACCACGTAATACGAATCACGGAACATGAATCAAGGATCAGCTATCACGGACTGGATCACGGAAGCACTGGATCGCAATGGCACTGGCGCGCAATATCCCACCTAACTGAGACGCGAGGAAGAAGGCCACAGGAATGGTAGTTCGTAGTTCGTTTATTGGAAGGAAGGAAGGAGGGCGATTAAATAATATGTACAAAAGAAGGTCATTGGTTATCCAGGCTTCCACCAATGGCGTTGCATTATGGCTTGCGTCATTCTGCTTAACTTCTCGCTTTTTAAAGGAGATAGTGAATTTAAAATGAAAACTTAGATGGCTGTGCGTTGACCCACGCTTAATCGACCAAATCTTTGAAGAATCCTTGATGGATTGCGATACGCAATATGCAGTATCTGAGAGTTCGTGTGGAGAAGGTAAATCATACACTTATCTTGTTGCGCAGTGACCGACTGGCTCAGGCTCCCACACCGAAAGCAGGCAATTCAATTTCTGACTGGAATACAAAAATATTTGAAAATATCTCCCAACATGGACGGAATAGCTGTCCGATGTTTTTTGTTAGCCACCGCACGCAGATTTTCATGAGTTGCGCTTATCGTTCCATATCGTTAAAATTTAGCTCTGATGGTCAGACAAGAAACTTAGCGACACTGTGTAGTGCATTTCAATGAGCAGAAATGTATAAAACTTTTAGTGGTTACATGCTAATAAAAATAATGCAGTTTTCCTGTGGGTCAAATTTTATAACTGTAATTGATAGGTTAACGAACTTTTTGAAGCCTTACTTGCATATTTTATATCACACGTGAATGTTTGATGGTAGTAAAAGTTGAAGTTGATCAGTTCTTGCCAAGAGTAATTGTTTAACAATACAGTTATTATCTGTTCAGTCCAGGATGGTTGCGGATAATTTGAAATTCTAAATTGCTCTATTCATGCAGGATGGTTGTCTTTAATTCTTGAACAGTATGAAATGTATTTTAGAGTAGCAAGCTTAGATTAGCCCATTCGATTGTTCAGATGCACCGAGCACTTTTGATGATGTATTTTCATGATCATAAACTAGCTCTTCAATAGGTATCAGACATTTTCATTCAGATTTAAACCTAGTATCTGGGTTTCATTGCAGTAATTTATTTTACTTGGACTATATTCATAGAGAACCATGGGTTGTTAATTGATTTTTGAGATACTGTGAAGCAGAAGCTCATTCAATGTTTTGAGGTGTCAGCTGTCTGAGTTCCTTCAAGAATTGTTACCTGGAAATTTTCATCCACAAAACTGGTACCACAGAGTATGACAAAGCCACACCTTGGGTTAAACAGTTGGAAGCCACTTCCTGTTATGCTTGTTACAGCTGCAGTACTTTAATCCACAAAGGCCGACAACATTGAACGTTTCCTCTTAGCTGACATGACGTGTAATTCAAACAAATCGATAATCAGTATGACAGCTCGTTATACGAGGCAATAATTTGAAACTATTCAATGAACAACTGGACAGTGGAGATTCTTACAATTCTCGTAACGCGAGTGACATTCCATTGTATGCTTGCTTGAATGAGACTGTTGTGTCTCACCAAAACTATCACCGAACCTGGTCCCACGATGCGCATCCTAACGATCCCAGTTAAAAGATAGTTGCCAACAGTGTATGCCTTTACCGGTAGTAAGGACCAACCGTGGATTGAGAAACGAAATACGTGCGGCATATATGGGGTTGGTCATAATCTAGGCAAGTCGAGGTTACCAGGGTCAGAACGCTGAGGATACACGATTTCGCATCCAGGACCGTCGAGAAAACTCCGACACGCTCTCACGTTGGTAGCTGATCCCAACCCATTTCAAATGCAAGCCGCGAGAATTTCCAAGGGAAAGTTAGGCTTTCCCTGAGACGTACCCTTTTGAGATATGCGTGCGCATTTTTGGGTTGATTTGCGGTTTCTTGGTTTGCGTCTGTTACTTGTTTGTACGTCACCTTGTCAAAACTGACGGTTTCAAGCTTGCTATTTTCTATCACTCTTCACCTGGCTATGATGACCTGGGCAAACTGAAGGTTTCCACTATCATGTGGATGGAGAATTGTTGACTTCGAATACTTTCTTCGTGGCATTTCGTTGACCCTAACTGATTTGCATGGTGCGCACAGACTTTGAACTGAGCTTGAACCTCATAAGGTATACCGCCTCGTCTTCGTAGGATCATGTCAGTCGTCTAGCGGGAACCATCGCTTCCACAGCGTCGTATTAACACTGACTGCCCTAGGACAAAAAACGCGTTGCGCGGCTTGTCGTCGCCGCTTGAATTGCCCTTACATAATCCTGTTCTTTTTGGCGTTTTTAGTGGGTAGGCCTCAAAAGATCAAGTTGCATTCGGAAAATCCTGTTTATCAAAACCTCTGCTACGGAAACTCCGTTTGGCTAGTTCGGGTTCGGTGTGTATTGATACAGAAACAGAAATCTTTTGATGACTTCGGCAATTGATCCCACACACTTTGATTACTGGAGTGCCGGCTTGAAGGTGCCCACGAATCTCTTGGTTGGTCGTTCTATTACGAATGAAAAGTCATGGAGTGGATATAGTTGATGCCATTCTCTTACAGAACTCCAAAAATTTTCTTGATGTGAACTGGGTGACGTTGTTGCTGAAAATCTTTTCAGGGGCACCAAAACGACCGAAAAGCTGGAGGAGGTGTTTGATTGTTGAGGTTGACGTAGGGCTATTCATGAGGAAAATCTCGGGCCATCTGCTGAATGCGTCAACAGCAAGAAGGTACGAATGACCGCCGATTGGTCTTACAAAGTTAAAATCAGGGTTTGTCAAGAACTGGCCAGCTGAAAAGCTTCGCTTTACTGGTATCTTGGACGCAAAGGCTCATTGGTGACAGCAGTGGACGAGTTCTCCCAGTTGTTTATCGATGCACAGCCAATAGGCATAACTACGGACAAGTGTTTTCATGCGGTTTTTTTCGGGTGTCTGCTGTGGAATTTCTAGAGCACTCTTTTCTATAACGTTTTTGGAATCAAGACTCTTTCAACGAATAGGATGCAGCTGTACACAATCAACAACTAATCTTTTCGTTGAGAGAATTGACGCGGTTTTTTAAGTCGCATGATTATGACTAATGTGTGTAGAGGAATTGTGTGACCTTCTCGATCGTTGAGTTGTGGGGTGTTTCCTCCTGAACTTCTTCAGCTCTCAATGGCGTATTGCGTAGTGTATTGGTAACGAGGGGGGTGATTTCTAGTTCTACCGATATCGAAGCAATAATGCCTCCTTCGGGCTCAGGTATTTGAGAGTTAATAGACCTTAACAGTGCATCTATTTAAACAAAGGATGTAATCGACTGATAATGGATCTCATAACCGCAGCCCAACGTTAAAGGCGGTTGGCGGTATAGACTGAAATACCATTTTCGGAGCCGAAAAGTGCTATCCGTGGCTTGTGGTCGGTGATTGTAGGAGACGTTTATTGACGGTTCATGGTACCGGAAGGTACTTACTAAGTGACCATGTGATGTCTTAGCAACTGAAGCAAATAAACGCAGTAGCAAACGAAAGCATGGCACACGTGTCGTGTGGGTTGTAACACTATCCCGCTTATATGAACACCTGAGCTGAACTTGGCACTTGGTCAAACACAAGCGGTGAATTTAGGGAGAGAAATAGAGTAGAAACACGACTAGAGTTGTAGTTGATTATGAAGCAAACGTGAGCAAAGTTTTTCATCGTGGATTTATTCTTTTCTTCATGTAATAAGCAACACTAGAAATTTCATTGCGTGGGATCGTTAGTGTGTTTGATACTGTGACAATACTGTGACAATTACCAGATGCATTGTAAACTTGAACTCAAGAGTGATCATCGGTTTAACTCCGGCATACTTGATACCCGATTTGATATAGGAGTTATATCGTTATTAACCAAAGGTACTTCATAGGATTCCAGAACGTGTCTTGGTGTTATATCAATATATTTTGATTAAACTTCTGGAAACAACCAAGAATAGTCAATAGAGTATTTAGTTGTTATCCAAATAGGCAGGCTTATAAACTATATTAAGCATAACCCTCGGGATTACCCAATTTGAACGAAAATTAGTGAAACATATCTGAAGCATGACTGGCTGACGTGGCGGACTATGGAGGAACTTTTCAGACAGCAGTCGGGGTGAAATTAATAATATTTATCAACTGCGGCAACACATTCTCTGGGATATTTTATCCCATCAAAGTGGTAGATAAAGTGTTTCGTTTCTTTATAGCATCTCATTATTCTACCATATTTGATCTGTTTCAGTTTTTTACCAGGAAATCACCGAGAAACCGGATATGAAAAATAGCGTTTCATGCACTAAAGATATGCTTCTTTACTGCAAAATCCATTGAATATTCACTGATGACCAAATGCTTCCAACCGTTTGTTAATTTGTTGTAGATACACGTGAAAAAGGTGTCGCTCAATTTAGACTCCACACCGGGACCTGCTTATATTGATAACTCTAACGCTTCTCTATAGCTCTTGGATATGCAATACCGTTCCGATCGTAATATAAATCACTTTTTGTCAAAAACGCATTCCTTCTTATAATCTGCGGAGTTGTATTGTTGAACACCAAACTGCAATGTTTTAGATCGTAACACACTATGGAAAACTCAAATGGAATTTGATACAATGCCCCAATCTGGGTATAAAGAAGCAGCTGATTATATTTCTTCACCATGGAATGCTGTAACGCAATCCTAAAACATGGATAGCCTGCAAGGTCCGTGATCAAAGAGACAAATAGTTGCAGTGTTTATATCTGCTGTGGGTTATGCACGCACTTAACCTGCCAAATGGTCGTAAAATAGTGTATACCGCTGTCGAAACTCCGATTCAATGCAATTGTGAAACGTGATTTCTTCTTGATGAAACTTATCCCGTTGGAGATTCACTATTTGATTCTCTTTTTATGTGCTTTATGGGTTTAGCAACGGGACCGGCTGTAAATCATACCTGATCAAGTGTAGTGGCTTCATGGCAAACATCCGATCGCTTGAATGATAAAAGGTCTTTCTTATCTCGTGGCTCATCGAGCAAGTATTGTCGATTCGGGAATCGCAAACGGTGGAAGGTCTCACAAGTTCCTTAGTGCTTGTTCTACCTGGGACCTATATTTTGAGGGGGAGAACTTCCAACGACCGCAGTGGCACGATAGTTGTTGGATACCCGACAAACTCAAAGCTCTCTGTGTTACTCTCTAACTTCGAAGCCCGGAGATGTTTCGGTTTGTCAAAACAATTATCAACAACCGCTCAAAGTCTGATTATTGGGTGCAAAATGCCTTTGTGATGCAATTGTTATTGCTGTGGTAATTGTTGTGCAGATCCCTCTTCCCTCCACTTCCTGTATCTCAACCTTTCCCATAACTCATCGTTCACACTTCATCCCTCTGATTTCTGTATTACTTAATTCTTTTGATCCGCGGATGTAACTGTTTATTTCTTCTGCTTGTAAAAGAAACCTTACATCCACATTTAAGTCAATAGATTGTGTGATTTAGCCCTGTTGTGTTAGTATGCAACTGATGATATAAACAGTTGTTTTCTGAAGTACTTTACCGGTTGAGAAGCTTCAAAACCTGCCTCGGAATGAATCGTGAAACTTAACTCTGTCCATTCAGAAAGTAAGTTGTCTGAATACAAGGACTAGGTTTTGCTGATTGCAGCCACATATACTAGAAACGTGGATTATTCAAGCGAACACCATCCATGTCTACCTAAGGTGGCCACCGTTTGGACTACTATGCAACCCGATCGCTCTAGAAACAATGTATAGTATAGTGCTCCAACGTGGTATGCTAAGAGATTCACCGCAAGTTCTCACATTGGGGCACATGAATCTTCCGGAATCCAACTGGTGTGAGAATTACGATAACATGTTCCGAATGATGTATCTTTTTAAATGCAAGTGAAATTGTCCACACCCTAACTCTGGTTCGCAATAAATAACTCTCCTGGAATAACAACAATAGTAGTGTGAGTAGTGTGTGCGGATTTTGCAACTTGACTAGCTGTTTCTCTCAACGGTCGAAAATGAACAAGACCTCTCACAACGATTTATTGTGTTCAAAATGGTAACTACGGGAATGGCGCATCTACCGTCGAACCGTTCCACTAATCATCCTATGTTGGCGAGACTTTTAAAGACTTGTTCCAAATGAAACATTTTGTTGCTTGTATGCAAATTTACTGTATACTATACCCTATACTCTATACTATACTCTTACTGTCATTCGTAATAAATAACTATCCTCGTCGTATCACCGCCCCGCGGAATTATGTCACTCAAAGTAGTGAAAGTATTTTGAAGTCCTACTCACATTCGGGTGTAGTATATTTGGATTTCGCAAAATGTGATTGGCGGATTGAACAACGGTCAAAAATGAATAAGATCTCCTGCAGCTAATTACTGTGTTAAAAAATGATAACTGCGGACTGTTCCATTCGTTATCTTATGCGCCGCTGGGAATTTCGATGTCATGTTCCAAATGAGACGTCTTGTTATATGTAGGACAATTTATCAATAGTCTAACTGTGGTCCATAATAAACAATTCACCTCAAGCCACCACTGGTCTTTCGGAAGTATAACAACTAATTTTCTAGGGCACAAAGGATAAGGGACGGAACAGATCACATTAGTAGTAGTAGTGTTAGATACTACTCACTTGTGAGTAGTGCGCAAAAAGATGCGATCAGCGGTTTCTTTCAACAACCAAAAATCAACAAGACCTGTTGGAGCAAACTGATGATGTTCGGCATGGTGAATACAACAATTCACATCTAAAAGTCGATCGTTCCATCAACTATCCTGTGTGTGTGGGAATTCTACAACATTGTTTCAAATGAGATATTTTGTGGTATGAATGACAATATGTCAAAAGTTATTGGCCTCACCGCCCTATGGGATCATAAAAACTGGTGCAGTCGCCAGGATCAGGATGGACGTCCCACGGCAGAAACCTTCGAGGAAGGAGACGTGCGGGCTTTCCTGGAGGATTTCGAGGACATCACGGAGCTGGCGGGAGTTTGGTCGGACCGGGGTAATTTGACTGCCCTCCGAGCGCTTCTCACACCCCGACCGACCACCGGAAGGCGTTGCGGAGCTTCCAGACGGCACGACTCGGAGTTGGGGTGAGCCCTCTGTCGCACGCCATAACCCTCAGCGCTCTGTTGGATCGAGCGCTGCCAACTTTGAACGACGCTGCTCGCTCGGAATTATCGCTGGAGCGCTCGTGGAGAGTCTGCCAGGCAATCTGCAGGAAAAGCGCGAATCGTCCAAGCGGGTTGTCATGGTTGTATTCACGTTGGCTGAAGCCTTTGGGCTCTCCAAACTCACGAAGTCCCGAAAAGACAGCCGCCGGAAGATGTTACGAAAGCCCTAAAAAGGCTGACAGAAAAAGTAGCAACATTGAAAACAGACTGCAAAGTAAGAAAGAACAGGAATGTGTGCTTTTCAATGCGGTAAACTGGGCCACTGATGGAGGCATTGCCCAGAAGGATACGAGAAATGTTCTCTCCAGAAACGGTTTACGCAGAACACACCCGTCTTCTCAAACAAGGCTATAATACNCAGTAGATCGCGGTGCACTATAGGCCCAATTGGAGATATAGGGTCGGAAAGAGCTATGCCTAATCGACAGCGGCGCGACAATATCGTTGGCGAGACCCCAAGCATATAAACCCCTCAAACCATGGAACACGGCTGTGAAAACGGTCGGTGGTTGAAGGTAGACGGAGTAGCCAAACGGACAGTACGAGTTGGAAACAAGATAATCCAGCATCCATCCAAAGGACACGAACCAGATTATAGTGGGTGCAGATATATTGCGCAATTTACGGGCCTTGGTTGATCTGAACATCGAACGGCTTGTTACCAGATTCGGCA